TTCATCCCCCTTTATTATGTCTACTGAGATTCTTTTGACTCCCCTTGTCTCAGTCCCCCCTTTTCTAGAAAATAGTAAATTCTTTTACTATATTTAATCCTAGTACTTCTAATACATTTTTTCCCTATCTAGCATCCTCTCAAAGTATTTGTTGGTCTCCAGTTTTCGTCGTAACTGATTCTTTTTCCATTCACTGTAAGAGTCTCCTGTACTCTTACAGCACAAAAGGCCACATCGAACCACTATGCAAAGGACCACAGACAAGAGAATGATGATTATTATAGTGACAAACAATTGCTTCAACCATGTCAAATTTGGCAACCAGGAGGTTAATTTTTCCCATATCTCAGTGAATCCCCATGAAGTGTCATCTTGTGACATTAAATGTAAAAGTTGGGGTTTTTTCCAAATTTGAGAGAGATCTGTTTCTATTCATCTCTTTTGGTTAACATAGGTGCAGCAGCGTTCATTAATTACAGTGCACAGGCCCCCTTGCTGAGCAAAGAGCATATCTAGACCTAGTCGATTCTGGAGCACCATTTTTCCTAGGGAAGTGGTTTCTTCCTGGAGGGTCTTTATAGCATCGATTGTGGCATTATTAATAATTTCCATAGTGGCAGAAAGATTTACCAGAGCTTTCTCTAACTCACTAACTCCCAATGATGGAATGAGCCATTGTACAAAACTATGAAAGCTAGTTGGTCTTTGCACTAGGGGATTGCTGGTGTGTTTTTGCCTTATTACTGGTTTCATATAAGTCCGTAAAAAGTTTTGGGAATCATGGTCAGTTAAATTTTTAACCATAATGGTATTAGGAGCTATGGTTCCTACAGCACATTGGCCAGTCCAACCTAGAGGCAGTACTTTATATCCTGTCTGTCCACAAATCCAATACCATCCTAATCCTACTGGAGTGGGCCATCCTCTGGGTCTAGTAGAATTATGCCCTCTGGTTCTTGCAATCCGGGTTTGATTGGAGTTCCACATGTTTGCGCCACCATACTTAATATATTCAGTACAATTGGGGTAACTTCCAACAAACAACTTGACTGATCCACATTTAGGGTCCGTGTTATTACCTCCAGAATTCTTAGTTGTATTTTTCAGATGGCACCTCTGAACACACGGAACCCTTTGGGTTTCATTCCACAATTCGCTCAAATCTGTTTGCCATTGAATGTTCTCAGGGGGTATTTCAGTGTACTTTGTGAGGGACATGTTATTAAATAATAGCTGCTGCTATCACAGAGGTGTTAGAAAAGACTGTAGCAATTACAGGGTAGCCCCGTCCAAGACCCTTAGGAAAACGTGAACATATCCAGCAATCAGTTTGATTTACTATTTTTGCAATACTCTCATGGAGTTGAACAAACATGTTCCCATCCCATGTTATGCTCCTTGTCCCCAAGGTTGCCCATATTACCGCGTAAAAACTAATTATCCATCAGGTTTTGTGGTGACTTTCCATGGAGTTTTGGGTGACTTTTTCACTCTGGTGTGATGAATCCAAGTGTTCTGTTCCTTGATTCTGATTGCAGTAAAGGAGGTAAGTAATACTTGAAATGGTCCTTCCCATTGCGGCTCCAGAGTTTCTTCTGTAAGAGACTTTATATACACATAATCTCCTGGTTGTATATTATGTACAGGCCCATCCAAACCTCTCCTTCAAGTCCCTACCACATGCTTCCTGATTTTATTAAGTTGCTTACCTAATGCTACCATGTAAGAAGTCATAATTTCATCCCCCGCTTGTACAGACACCCCTCTCTGTATCCCATAGGGTTGTCCATACAGAATTTCAAAGGGGCTCAGTCCTTCTTTCGCCCTTGGTCTTGTTCATATACACAGAAGGGCTAAAGGGAGAGACTGAGGCCATGTCAAATTTGCTTCTTGTCCTAATTTCACAATTTGCTGTTTGATTAAGTGGTTCATTTTTTCCACTTGACCACTCGACTGGGGGTGATATGGAGTATGAAGCTGCCAATCTATACCCAAATGGCGGCTAATTTGTTGTACTATTTTTGAGACAAAATGTGGTCCTCTGTCAGAGGATATGGTTGCTGGAACCCCAAAACGTGGTATTATCTCTTGTACCAGTATTTTAGTTACCTCCCGAGCTTTAGCCGTTCTTGTTGGGAATGCTTCTGGCCAACCTGAAAAGGTATCAGTTAATACCAATAAATATCGATACCCCCCTTTTCTTGGAAGTTCTGTAAAATCAATTTGCCATTGTTGTCCAGGCCCATTGCCTTTTCCAATCTGGCCCATTTCCGGCTTGGGGGTATTCTTAGGATTAGTCTGGAGGCAAAGATCACACTGTTGTGTCACCTGTCTCACCGTGGTGTATAAATTTCTAGCCACAATTTCTCTTATCAAATGATTATACAGAGCCTCTGTTCCCCAATGTCTTTTCCTATGTTCCTCCCGTATCAAATGCCATAATAAGCAAGAGGGAACGATTAGCTTTCCCTGTGGGGTATGAGCCCACCCCTCTTCATTATATGACCCTTCTAAATCTGTAATGAGCTTTTGATCTTCCTTGGTGTATTCTGGCTTACCTTCTAGGGAAATCTGCCTATCAGGAATTAAGGCCCCTTCTGGTTTTACCTTTGTTTTGGCCACTTGTTTTGCCTCTCTGTCCGCCAGCTCATTCCCTTTTTCCAAATCTGAGCTCACTTTCTGGTGTGCCTTAATATGCATAATTGCTACTTTCTTAGGGAGCTGGACAGCTTCCAGTAACTTCAGAATTTCTTCTGCGTGTTTGATATTTTTCCCTTGAGAACTCAATAGTCCTCTCTCCTTCCAAATTGCTCCATGTGCATGTACAACTCCAAAGGCATATTTTGAGTCTGTATAAATGTTCACAACTTTGCCCTGGGCCAATTCCAGGGCGCGGGTTAGAGCAATTATTTCTGCCTTCTGTGCGGAGGTGTTCATGGGCAAAGCCCCTGATTCTATTACCTCTTGGCTGGTGGTGATGGCATATGCCGCATGTTGATTACCATTTAGGACGTAACTGCTTCCGTCTGTGAACCAAGTTTCCCCGTTTTCCATGGGGCTGTCTTTCAGGTCTGGGCGACTGGCGTATGTTGCTTCGATGGTTTCCAAACAGTCATGATGTACCGGTTCTCCTGTGTTCCCGCTGAGAAAAGAAGCTGGGTTGACAATGTTAGTGACTACAATCTCCACGTCATCCTGCTCTACCAATATAGCTTGATATCTCAGGAATCTTTGTGGAGAGAGCCAGTGTCCACCTTTTGCTTCCAGTACTGCTGATACTGTGTGAGACACCAGAACAGTCATTTTCTGGCCCAGAGTAAACTTTTGGGCTTCCTGTATATTCAGTATCACAGCCGCAACTGCCCGCAGGCATCCAGGCCAACCTTTTGCAGTTGTGTCTAACTGCTTAGAGAGGTAGGCAACTGCCCGTCGATATGGACCCAGGTTTTGTGCTAATATTCCCAGGGCAGTGCCCTGCTTCTCGTGGGAGTAAAGAAGAAACGGCTTACTCACATCTGGGAGTCCTAAGGCCGGGGCCGACATCAAAGCCTTTTTCAGTAGCTCAAAGGCTCGTTCGGTCTCCTTATTCCACTCAAGGTGTTTCTGCTCAGTGGCTGTCAACGCATACAGTGGTTTAACAAGCAATCCATAATTATAGATCCACAATCGGCACCACCCTGTCATTCCCAGAAAAGTCCGTAACTCTTTTACTGTCTGAGGTCTCCGAGTTTGACATATTGCCTCTTTACGGGCCTGTCCCAAAGTTCTTTGTCCTGCACTAATTTCATAGCCCAAATAATTCACTTTGCGTTGCATTACCTGTGTCTTTTTCTTGGATACCCGGTACCCCTGGAGTCCCAGGAAATTCAACAGACTCACCGTCCATGTCATACAATCTTTCTCTGTTTTGGTGGCGATCAGGATATCATCCACATACTGCAACAGCTTCCCCTCCTCAGATGGGGCTTCCCAGGATTCTAAGTCTTTCGCAAGCTGATTGCCAAAAATGGTAGGACTATTCTTAAATCCTTGTGGCAACACTGTCCAAGTGAGCTGGGTCTTTTGACCACTCTTGGGGTTTTCTCATTCAAATGCAAATAATTTTTGGCTGGCTTCATGGAGAGGGAGGCAAAAGAAAGCATCTTTCAAATCTAAAACAGTAAACCAAGTCAATTCAGGTGTTAATATGGTCAACAGGGTATATGGGTTCGCCACTACTGGGTAAAGATCTTCAGTTATCTTATTCACCGCCCGTAAGTCTTGGACCACCCGATATGACCCATCGGGCTTCCAAACAGCTAATATAGGGGTATTGAATTCAGACTCACACTCTTTTAGTAACCCTAACTGCAAAAATTTTTCTATCACTGGCCGGATTCCTTCTCTGTCTTCCTTCTTTAGGGGATATTGTTTAATTCTTACCGGCTTTTGGCCTTCCTTGATCCTAACTTCAACAGGTGGAGCACTTTTCGCTCTTCCAGGTGCATCGGTAGCCCACACCCCCAGGTACACTTGGTTTAAGATGTCCTCATTAATGCTTCCTTCTAGGGGGAGACTGGTTAAGGTTAGGCTCAATATTTGAATATATTGCTGATCTTTTACCTCCAGAGTAATTTCTCCCTTTTTGAATACAATTTTTGCTCCCAATTGTTCCAACAAGTCCCTTTCCAGAAGTGGCTTTGGGGAGTTGGGCATATATAAAAATTTATGAATGCCCCACTGTTTTCCTAACTTATATTCTAAAGGTTTACAAAAATATGCCTTTTCACTTTGGCCAGTCGCTCCTTTCACCATGACATAATCATCTCCCAGGGGCATCAAAGCTTGGTTCAGAACCGAGTATGTTGCCCCCGTATCTACCAAAAATTCTACCTCTTGTTGTGTTTTCCCTAGCTTAATTATAACCAGTGGATCCGCTAGGGTAGATGCCCCAGGTTCCCGTCAATCTCCCTTCACATGGGCTACCACTCTTCCTGTTTGAGCCCTCTGATCCCCCTTGTTCCTTGGGCATTCCCTTTTCCAATGACCGAATTTCTTACACAAAGCGCATTGATCCTTGCCCAGTTGGGGCAAGTCTCGTCTAGGCCCTCTTCCTCTTTCTTCCTGAATAACAGCCATTAATTTCCTTTGCCCTTGCCTATATCCTTCTTCTCTGTTACTAAATACTCTCCATGCTTCATCCAACAATATTTCTAAATTCCTACTCTCTGTAGGGCGTAATTTCTGAAGTTTGCGCCTTATATCCCCTGTAGACTGACCCAAAAACAGGGAGACTAATTGTTGTATTCCTACCTCTGACCCAGGATCCAGCGGTGTGCTGCGGTGCATCACATCCCTCAGTCGATCCAGGAATTTGGATGGAGACTTGGAAGGACTCTGTTTAACTGCATATAAAGCTGACCAATTTATAGTTTTGGGGATCGCTCTCTCCATTCCTTTTATAATCCACTCCTGATACCCCTGCAATCTTTCCATATGTGCAGATCTATTAACATCCCACTTTGGGTCTTGGAGAGGGAAATATACCTTAATGTCCCCTCCTGCAATCTTATCATGATCTTCAGCAAGGTTCCCTGCTGTTTTTAAAATCAGCTGTTTCTCTGTCTGAGTCATATATTCCAATAATAGCTGTATATCCTTCCAATCAGGGTTATGCTGTTTTACAATAAATTGGCAATGCTTAGTTACACTTTTGGATCACTCCTATAATCTTTTGCCACCTTTTTCCATTCCCCTATGTCAGCAGTAGAAAAGGGTACTTTGATTAACATCGTCCCCCCATCCGGCCCCACCGCCACTCGGAGAGGTGCTTGTAAAGCTGTTGAGGTAGTTTTCTTCCTAGTACAGGAAGATACAGGGCTGTCCGGGGGGGTCGGAGTTCTATCCGAGTCTGCATCCTGTTCCTGTGGTCGAGGGGGAGGCTTAAACAAATCAGTTAGATCTTGTTCTGGTACCTGATGAATTTTATTTGTCTTTGTACATCTTTGTCCAATACTACATGCCGAACAACACCGCCTCAGTTTACCTCTAAGCTCCTTGTTGTTCTCTCGCTCAAGTGCAAGCACCATGGGGTCCTGTGGGGGTACCATTCCACAGTCCCTTTGCCACTCTGGATGATTTCAGAGGGTGAAAAACATGTCTGCATATGAAACCTTATCTCATTTTCCTTCTCTCCTTAAAAACAGCATTAGTTGTAATAGAGTATTATAATCTATTGACCCATTAAGTGGCCACTTAGATCACTTTCTAACTTATACAACGGCCACCATTGATTGCAGTATTTAATAAGGTTCTTTTTACTTTCCGTACCTCCGGTCCCAACAATATCTTTCCAGTGGGCAATTACACAACCCAGAGGACTTTTCCTCAATATTCCTCCTTGATTGTTTCCCATTTTATAACTCCTCCTAATGATTCTTAAGTTTGATCTTGGCTTCTCCTTTTAATAAGCTTCCATGCAAATCGTTTCTTACACTTCTTTAGAGTCTTCCCCAGTTTTTCTCCCACACGTCCCAAATTTCTGGAATTAAATTTTCCTTTACACACCAATCTCACTATTTCGGATTCTTAGTGAGCTCTTTCCCAATCATAAAAGTGTGGAATTTGGAGAAAACACTCAAGGCAGTCTGGTTTCCGTCTGCTAGATGTACAGTACCAGCTTCTCCCACAAGATTTACACTTCAACAAAACCCAAGCCGGATGCTAATTATTACATAGTCAGTTGCAAGCCCACATACAAAGCAAGGAATCACCCCTGTTAATACGTAAAGACATTCCCACATTAACAAACATACATACACCTATAAATTTCAACATATCATTTCCACACACCCACACAAAATCTTTAACATAAATTTCCAAACATTCACATCATACAGTCATCACTCCAGTTGACAACCTTCAGCAGCTGCAAAAATAAACCAAGCGCAATTGCGAGGGGGTCCACTTACCCCATAAACCAAGCGCAATTGCGAGGGGGTGCGCTTACCCTTCTCCTACCTCTTATATACCAGTCATCGACAGGTCCGTCCTGGCTCCCAATACTGGGATGCAGCGATCACCCCGGATTTGCCCGATCGACCCCCAAGATCGCTAGCGGCCGCTCTATCGGTCAGCAAATCCCCCCATACAGGGTACCCTCCTCCCATACGGGGACTACGCTGCACGCCAGACGTCTCTGTGCTATTTACCAGCTGCTCCGGCCCGTCCTTTTACAGGCTCCCTCTGTGACACATACCGTTTGGTCCACGGCTTCAGGAGGTTGTTGTCTGCTCCCGCGGTGAGCGGCTGGCAGCGGAGGCTCCTGTGAAGAAAGTGCTCGGGGCACGCCGAGGGGCGTCCGCTCCGCAGTCGGTCCCGCAGCCGAGCAGAGAGTCTCCTGGCTGGCTCGCCAAACTGACGTGCGGAAAACAGACTCCACAATCAGTGAGATTGTAAAGTAGGTATGTTCATTCAGCGCTGGGCGGCACGGGGGGTAGTCCCACCAAAGTCGTGCGCGCCCGACTCGGCAGTTCGCCTCAAGTTTATACAGTCAGGTATTACATATTCACAATACGCCTATACATATGCATGACCTATCCCCGCTTCATATTAAAATTAGCTCCAAGAGGTCATTTTCATAGTCCCCTCCCAACTGTGCCTGCGCAGGGCCTCTTTATGGTGGTCATCTGGTGGTCGCAGAGATGAAGATAGATGACTCCTCTTTGTCACCGCTAGTAACCTCTTTCCTTGCGCAGGCTCAGTGATTTCTTGGTATTCACCCAAGCCGCAAGACCAGTCTTGGCTGGCTCTTGGGGCCTGCTCCTGCTTCTTATCAGGAACTGTCTCTACCTCATTGGC